CAAAGACCTCATCGTCAGAAGCGGTGATTCTCGCATACCGAATGTTGCTAATGATCGTGTCGTCGAAGAGCACAGGATTCTGGGGCACCAAGCCAATGCGGTCACGGAGGCTGTGCAAGTCAACGTCACGCACATCCTGCCCATCAATCAAGATAGATCCCTCGCTAGCGTCGTAGAAACGGTTGAGTAGCTTCAACATGGTGGACTTGCCGGCACCAGTAGCACCAACAAAGGCCACCGTCTGGCCGCCGGGAACAGAAAGAGAGATGCTGTTGATGATCTTCTTCTTGGAATCATAGGTGAAGCTCACATCGTTGAAATCGACGTTGCCACCAATAAGCTTCAGGGGACGGGCCCCCTTCTTGTTCACGATTGTTGGCTCCTTCTTCATGATGTCCAACAGTCGCTCGGCATCAATCAAATCGCTTCCAATCTTCTTCCCGAGGCTGGCCATGAACCGCAGTGGAGACGTGAGTTGAGCCCAGTACATCAGGAGCATTGTCAAGTCACCAGGGGTGGCCTTGCTATTTTTGATTCTGTACACAGCCAGAATCGCGCCGGCCAACAGACCACACAGAAGAACCAAAGACTGGAATGCTTGCGCAGTAAACCACCCGAGACGTACACGCTTAGTCCAGTTGATGCGGGTGTGGATTGCGTTAGAGTAGCGCACATCTTCATATGTCGTCTGATTGAAGGATGCGACCGTATGCCAACCCGTGATTCCAGTCTGGCGTACGTAGTGCTCGGCGTACTGGGCGTTCACGTGGGCCCGTCTACGTTCCTTCATCACAGCAATCATCTTCGTAGCGATGAACAAGAAAAGTGTGCTGGTCGCCAGGGTGATGAGACCTTCATAAGGCCCCAAGATAACCGAGAGGTAAACAATGGCAACAACCAGGTCGATCAGCATGGGAAGAGCTTGAAAACAGATAGACTCCAGGAGATCGGAAACACTTGACCCGCCATACATGGCCAGGCTGATGTCAGATGTGCTCTTCGAATCGTGGAAGTCGGCTGAGAGGTTCAAAATGTGTCGGTAAGCTGCTGTGCTCAGAGCCCCATCGGCGTATACCTCAAGAGGCAGGTAGAGCCATTCTCGCAGAAACTCAATACCAGCGTCAGAAGCAGCGATTCTGAGCAGACCGTAGATCGCAACTCCGTACCAGGCGCTGCTGAAGTTCTTGTCCTTGAGCTCATCGACGATAATACCGAATTGACGTGGGATCAAGAGGTTGAGAGCGTTGCCGGCGAGCAGACAGAGTCCAACAAGGACAAGGCGTAATTGCAGGGATTTCTGTCCGACAGGCCAGATATAGGGGAACAAAATCTAGACTGGTGTCAGGCAAGTTACGTATATCAGGGGTGGTTGAAGGGACGAGAAGAATCCAAAACTTACGCCGAAACCCTTAATGTACGTTAGCCAGTTACCCTCTTCCTGAAGGCGCTTCTCCATCTCCTCCTGTGCCTTTCGCTGGCGTTCTGCCCAGTACGACTCTGGTGGATCACTTGTCGTTCCGTACGTAGAAGTAGAGCTCTGGCTCCCGTTTCCTGAGCTGCTCAATCGTGACTTTGGGTCATCTTGGCCGAGAAGAGACTGCCGTTCTTCGTCTGTCGCTTCTTCCTGGCTAGCTCGGATACGCTGAACAACGTAGATGGAGACAATGGTAAGAAGTAGATAGTAGCGGAGACCAGCAAAGACAAGGTGAGCGATGCGGCAGTGCTCGAAAGTGCTGGAGCGTCTGATAATGAGATCTGGCACTCCAATCATGGGCTCGAAAACCAAGGAAATGAGCCACGAGCCCCAGTACGGTGTCCACACAGGATGTTCTGTGTCGGAAAGGAAGGCCAATTGAGTACCAAAGACAAGAATGCAGGACAGCAAGCCAATAACCTCATGCTCCTGACCAATCCATTCTTGAAGGATGATGGACTGAATGGCAATGACGGCAATCTGGGCGACGTAGGTAAGGACAAAGGCAACGATAAGGTTGAGGATCCATGACCGAGGGATGAACTCTTTGCCTGGGTTATTGGCTGCCCGCAAAGTCTGAAGAGTGCACACAGCAACAGCAGAAGCAATTGCAAAATAGGTGAAGGCCAATGCCGGATAGAGGTAGTGGAGGCTATCGAGAAGCTCTTCGAGGGACGCCATTGCGGCAAATGGTGTTGAGGACGTGTGGAGCAGCCGTAGATCCGCAGGACGACCGAATACTGACTAGAGAGAGCTTGAGGGGGTGGACGGATTAGGTAGTTGATGGATTCACCAAAAATCGAGAGACGGCTAGCTGGTGTTCCCGACAAATGAAAGTTGAAGAGATTGCGAGATGCTGGGGGGAGAGACAAGTGACGGGTGTATGATGAGAGGGATACCAGGGGAGCTTTGGCCAGGGATGGATGGATGGAGCTGTGGGTGATCTGATGTCCAGACCTCTGGGGAGCGTGCCTCAACAGGGATGGTGCAAGACGGGGAAGACGGCAAGGGCTGCCTGCCAGACGGAGTTCTGTTTCGTTTCCTTCCCAAAGTTTTAGCTTTCTATCCAGCGAAGAGCTTGCTGCTTGCAGGAGGAAGTGAGCTCAGGAAACAGGGGTGACGATGGAAGAGGAGTGCGTCGTCGTGCGTAGGGTGGACCTGTGCGGGCGGGAGTGCGTTTCGATGGTTGCTTCCAGGTGAAGTCTAGAGTTAAGTTGGCGATGAAGAGGTAGGATGGATGATGCAAGCCGGCAGCCGGCAGGAGACCGAATGATGCAAGTCGAAACAAGATCTAGATTGCCTTTTTTTCGTCTCTAGAAAGACAATTCAAAAGGTAACGGTGGAAAAGAGAAAGCTTGAAGAAGTGAGGTAGGTGCCGAATGTCGATATTAAAGAGTCACCACCGCGTTCCGGGGACGTGTTTGCTGCAGGTGCTTGGGAAGGAGCAGGTACCCGATCCCAGCCAGGTTCGGTGGGAAAGGGGAAAGACCGTAGGACTATCCGTAAAGTACAGGACGGCAGGATAAAGAGAAAGGGGGTGGACCAAGGTAAGGTAAGGTCCCTTGCCTTATGGGAACCTAGGATCAAGAAAGTGCAAGTGCAATACCTATGATTGAGCCTTCTTCTTGTTCTTTGCAGTTCCAGGCGTGCAGGTGTGCCAGGTTCCTTCTGTTGGTGTGAGAGAATGTAGATGCGTGCCGGGTGCGTCGAGTTGATGCAAGGCAGCTGAGCACTGTCGTCTAAGCGGAGGGAACGTGAATCAACTGCTCCAGCTGGGGCGAGAACGTCTCAGAAAGAGGGAGGAACTGGCTGGTAACTGCAGGGTTCAGGTACCAGATCGTCTCTTTCCCTTTTCCGGTTCACCGTTTTGGTGAGGAAGGGCTCCGGGAAGTTTGAAGGTAAGAAGGCAAGGTAGGTACTTTCGCAGAAGAGGGAAACAGCCTTGGGCTCTGCAGTCTGGTGCACACCTTCCTCTACACCTTCGGTCTGTTGGTAAAAGGAAGGTAACGTGTAGTCAAGGTACCTTGCAGAAAGGGCAGGAACTGGGAAGCGTATCTGTGGAAACTTGAAGGGGCAGGCACAGAGTCGTTGTACGTCAGCCAGTCGGCTCCTTCCTCTCCCTGAAACCTATACAGGCAAGGCAGGTAGGTACCTCGAAAATTCTCTCCCGAGATGTAATGGCCCAGCCAAGTCGCGCAGGCGTGGGGGGAATTGGCGGGGGAAATGGGCAAATGCGTGATGCAAATCTCCAAGTAACACACTCAGGTCTCTCCCGTAGTTTATTTGCTGCTCGCCGTGCGTTGGTGCTCAGTAAGCTAAGGTAACAGTTGGCGCTGGGTGCTGAGGTGCTGTTCCTGTTGCTGACACTGCCAGTGCCGCTGTTGCTTGCTGAGAGCTTGCAAGATGCTTGTGTGGCGGCCGGAGCCGAAAATCGAGCAGAGTCTTTCGTGTAACACCAAACTGGACACGACACTCCCAAACCCGGGATGACAGGGACAGGGACGACGCGTCTCCAATTCTGCAGGAACTTCTCCTTGAGTCTCGCTCCCTCGTCTCAATTCGCCTCTTTCTTGTCGTCTATTTTGCGTTGCCTCAAACTTAAGGCAGTTTATGCTGGAACTCCGGACGGTCTTGTCCACAGGCTTCTCTGGTCGTCTCACTCTGTGCCGTTTGACAAGCCGCCACCAAGAACAACGAAGAACGACCTTGGACAGCTATGCAATCGAGCTCGAGTACGCTGCGATACAGGATTGTGACCCTTCTGAATTCAGTCGAATGCCGAAGGTGGTAGAGCTTTCGCTGGCTGAAGACGAAGCACAGAAGTGACGGAGACAATAAGAGAACGAAGGTCTCGAGGGCAGAAGTTCGTGTTACCCAAGCGCGGTGCTACGCTTCTCAGACCCCGGTCACCGTGTGTCCGTGGCAGGCGAGATACCCGGCAATCAATTACACGCTGTCGATGTCGCTGTAGCCTCCCGGTTGATGTTTGTTTCACTGTCTGATGATGGGTTTGTCGCTGATGTCGTTTGGCTTGATGCTGTCCAATGTCTAATGAATGAAAGAGAACAGGTAACGAATGAACACAGACGCTTTGCCTCGCGTGCGATCAGCTCGATAGTAGATATTTAGATCAACTGTTGAGGTCTCTGTCTTGACTCAGATGCCCATCAAGGTTCCAGATGTTGCAAACACCTGGAATGAGACGCAAGAAAGGGGTGGATACACCAAGCTCCAGATGCCCAGGCCAACGAACCGGCTGGTTTGCTTGTCCAACCTACGCACCCTGTCACGACCTGTCTGTCTGTTTCTCAACGCCGGCCAGGTGATGCCACAAGCAACAATGAGACCGGTGTAGTGCGCTGGAAACGGCTTCACTCGTGCAAGCCAGCGTCGAATGATGGCGCGAGCGTATTCGCGGATCCGTGGGGATTTCGAAGGAAATGGGCCCCAACTCAGCATCATTTCTTGCGGACGGGAGTTGCGGATCTTTAAACCATGTCGACTGCTCCGCCTGCCTCGGCCCATGATGCCTGGAGAGGCTCCCACCAATATCATGCACATTTGTTGCACAAGCCGCATTCCTAATTCATCATCTTCACTCACCGGACGGGCTGCCTGGATTCATAAGCAAGAGGCGACGGCCAACCCTGAAGGCTCCAGTCCTGACAAGAGCGCTTCGTATCTGACAGTCAATGGCGCTCGCCGAATCACTGGCCATCGTATTCACAGCCATGGGGCGCAAGGAACTCCGGCAAAGTCGCCATCCAGTTATGTCTGCTTTTCCACCGGCTACGCAGCGGACTTCGCTCTGGCCGACGGCATTCCCAGTCAAACGGATGGATGTGGCATCCGTCACCATGCCCATTGGCTTTCACACGAGAGTCACGAGAATACAGGTTGCTTCTTCTTCAATGCAATGCGGTATCTCATTTTGACTCACAAGGCTACGGCTCGGCCGACGCTGCTTGAGTGAGGGTTGTTCCGAACTTGGTGACGAGATGGATGCGTCGTTCTGCGTTCAGCAAACCGTAATAGAGACCTTGCATGTTCTTGTGCACCATCACACCGGAGGACCCCAAACGACGATTGGTGTGGGAATCCCGAATCCTGGATTACCAAGATCCCCAGGTTCTCCCAGACGTGCGTGCAGCCTGCATATGCAGCATGCACACGGCCAAGGTACTATGTACAGATAGTTAAGTCCCCAGCACAAAGCCTTGCTCTCGTGAGCATCTCCGGCTATTGGGAATCCTGTCTCGGTGACATGGCAGCAATCCCCAGGGGCACATTATCCAGATGCATCAGCAAATTTGGTCACGTCTCGCAGGTGCCTCATTTCTGCCTGCCTACGGATGTTTTCCTGCAGGTGGCACCATCACCAAGTCATCCGCTGATTTCTATCCAAGCAATGCAAGCCAAACTTTTACCGACCTTTGATGTAGAGGCTATCCGGAGGCCTGAAAGAGCCGTAGCGCCTCAGCTCGGTGTTGACAACAACCTATCACGATTCTAGTCGGTAATCAATATCGAAAGCCACAGCACAGGGGGCAGAGCGGCTCGGATCCCCGGTGCTCGCTGAGCGCACGAACCCACTGCCCCCTGTTGATATGCAAGGCACTGCCTGTCACTCCCCATCGACGGAATACCTACCTCAAGCCTCAAGGTCCTCAACTGATCAGGAATGCACCTCAGATCGCCAACCAGCCAGTGTTACCGTTGGCAACTTTGTTTGACTGGTTCGAGACCGCTAGCACCGCTTGTCAGGCTAAGGTGAACTATGTAAAATGAGTCTATGAATGGTAAATTACTGCGCACTTCCCACCATCAGCCAATCGTCTCCATGATGCTTACACACGGTACGTACCGCGCTGTTGGAGCTCACCATTCCGTAGTGCTTCGGAGCTTGAGCCTGGCGTCCGGATAGCTTCCGCCATCCCGCTGACAGCACGTCCCGGCCCCCAAATATCAACCTTCACCAGAACAACCGTCCGCGTTGCAAAAACGTTGTGGCTGGCACTGGCAACCAACTTGTCGGGCGGTTTCTCGACGCCATGCTTTTTGCAGTCGTTGGACGGTAGACCTGGCCTGGCCACCCATCTCTCGACCGTCCATCCCGGGTATTGGATCTGAGCTGTCTCACCGCTTGTGATCTCTTGGTGGTATGAAAAGCAATATCTCGCATTACCCCTGGCAGGATTGCATGGGCATCCTGCTGCACCTTTGCTTACTAGCGCCCCATCTCCAGCGACATGTTGGGGTTTGATGAGCCCAATCTGGATTCTCCTAAACTGGGCATTCAATTTTCTGTGTCAATGTAGCTAGCCACCGAGACCTAGTTGCCGAGGCAGAAATTCAACGTTGTTTGACATTTGCAGGCCAACACCACATTTCCAGATAGACACATTCGCAACCCATACTTGACCGGAAGATGGATATTGCTCTCTTAAGTTCATTTCGCCGACAATCGCAAACTTCCTTCCTACTCATCAATCCTAATGAGCACCGACCGTCGAACGTTCAGCGACTGCCACAGCTTCCTAGACGCCTATTCTAGGCTCCGTTATTCAACTCCTGGCCGACAATGCTGGTCCCCAGTGGGGCACACAAACATTGACGAAAAAGCAGGCCGAGAGCCGATGGGCAAAAAAGAATTTCATGTCAATCGCTGACGGGAATTGAGCCCGACGTGGCTGGAATGTGTTAGCTGCGAAGCTCATGCCTCGATGAGAGCTTGCAAGCACTTACGGGTCGAACCCACAACCTTGAGATTAAGAGTCTCACGCTCTACCGATTGAGCTAGCCGGGCGAACGGCTTCATGGTTGATAGGCGAGGCGAAGACCGGGACTCGTCTTGTTGCGATGTGGTGGATTTGTCGTCCCCGACCCATCTTCGTGACGACGATGGTCGATGGGGGACCACTGATCAGTGATGGCGTCCTTCCGTCGGAAACGATGTGCGGGAACCTGTGCGCAGGATCCATCCGCAGTTAACTCACTTCCTTTTCCTAGGGCTGAGGGTGTGGGCTAGGTGAGCTAGGTAAGCCAGATGTTTGAGACACCACATGCCAGCGTCGCACAGAGTGATGTGTGGCTGGATGTTTGATGGCTGGCGTGGGAGAAATTCTACGAGGATCGTGTGATTTGAGTTTAGAAACCCGATAGCTCCTTGGGGATCTTGTGGTCGCTGCGGGAACGTGGCATCGGGGGCTGCCCTTTGCTTGGTCTAGCTTTGCAGCGTTTTGCTTGTGCAAGCCACGTTCCAAGGGGGTTGGAAGAATTGTGTCTTGGTTGCTTGAAGTGTGTTCTTGATGGCGCGGCAAGAAAAGTCAAGCGGAAGGCCGAGGCCGGGCTGGGTTGTGCCAGGTGGGATTGTAGACCGATTCAAAGACATCATCATCTGGCGGTACCTGAAAGCGAGGCTCGCCGAGATATAAGGACTACGGTCCCTTAGAGATAGGGGCGTCTAGTGGCACCGCGTTTCTCCGGATCTTACTTCGCTGATTGCAAGAAGGGACGAAGAGTACAGAATCACGACTAGGCAGAACAACATGGCACCACGCGCTACGGAGAAGTAAGTGTGCCCAGGTAACGTCTTCTCGATGAAAGCCTTCAAAGACATCTATCTATTGTGAAGAGTCCTGGTTTTTCTTCCCTTGAAAACGAAAACGAAAACAAACGTGGGGTATGTTAGGTCCTGGTACCATTTCCCTTGCCCTCCCTGCCCAAACGCGATATGCTGTCCGAGTCGTAAGAGACGTGAGGTGTCGAGGGTCATGTGAAACCGAGAGCCCATAGCATAACCTTTCCTCCTCGGGCTTTCCGTGTCGAAGTGATGAAGTCGAAAGAGTGGGGAAACCAGACGCGAGATGTCGACGAGTGTACGTGAAGTCGTACTAGCGGTGCCGTGTTTAGGGGTATAATGAGGGCATGATCGTTCCTATCAGTCGTTTGCCAGACGTCCGTTATGATGTGACCGATTCCCATTCCCAAAGTTCCACTCAAGCCTCCTTCCTGTAACGAAATCCCATGAACCATCTGAAAAAGCTGAGTACGTGGAGAAAGTCCTAAATGCAAACGAAAAGAAGACGGACGTGAAAGGTCGAATGGTGAGTGACGTCCTGATAGCGGTGCCGTATGCAGAGGTATGGCGATGGTGTGATCTTTCCCATCAGTCGTTTGCCAGACGTCTGTTGTGATATGACCAGTTCTCGAACTCCAAAGTTCCAGTTAAGCCTTCCCGAACCGAGTATCCCATGAATCAAAAGAAAGAGCCGAAAAGTCCTGAATGCGAACGAAGAGAAGATGGACGTGAAAGGTTGACGGGTGTAGGGGAACCGGATACGTGGAGTATGGTCTCTCTCCATCAGTCGTCATAGTGCCGTCCGTTGTGATGTGATCAACCCCAATAAATCAACCAGCCTCCGGAAAACCACTGTCATAACCATCCGAAGAGTCCCATCGCAGACCACAGGAAGACCGAAATTGGCAAAACCTTGTCCTCGAAAGCAGACCATAGTCAGAATCATCAATGGCTTCGCGTCGTGGTATCAGTCAGATGAGGTATGTACCAAACCACCGAGAAACCAGCAATCCCCCCTCTGGGAAAGAAAGCTATGGTTCGCGACTCGTGACTGGATCTACCGGGGTGGCTCATAGACGCCAATGTCGGCAGGGAAGCCTGTGAACACGCTGTACGTGTTGTGATGAGCCAAGGCGATCCGAAGATGCTCTTGGTAGGTAATCGGTCCGGAAACGGGACGAGAACCGGGTGAGGGCGAGCGGCGCGGGTATGGGATGAGGGGTCCTGCGCCGGAGTTGCGGGCGCGGTCGATCTCCTCTTCGGTGAGGGGGACAGGGGAGGGCAGACGGGTGCCGTAGGGCAGCTGGCGGAGGCGGCCGGCGGGGTCCTGGTTAAATATGTGTTAGTATACCCTTTGCCAAAGAGAGGCTGGCGAGAAGGGGGGTATAAATACTCACGATCCAAGAGGGATCGGTGCCGATTCCGCGGCGCGACCGAGTCGCCTGAGCGCTCATCTCTGCCGCGGAGAATCCTCCGGGGTGGGAGACAGTCCAGCGGCGAGGGCCTTCCTAGGGCTCTCGGCCAGCCAGGCTGTCTCCCCAAGGCTCGTCGTCGGAGCCCTGGCCCCCACCTGAGGCGCGACGGGCCGCTTCTGCGCGCTTGAAAGCCGCGCTGCGGTCCGTCGCGGCCCCAGGTATATCGATGGGGGCCGTCTTGGTGGTGATGGTGGTGGGATTCTTGGAGGAGGAGGCCATCTTTATAGTTATAGTTGTCTAGAGTAGAGTAAAATAAGTGGTCAGTATTTCCCTTCTTCGGTTCGTTTGCTCGTATTCGTGGACGAATGTGATATAAGTGTGAAGAACTTACTGGTAGTAGAAGAAGTGATGGTGGAGGTGAAGAAAGAAAGAAAAGAGAGAGAAAAAGAAGAAGAAGAGAAAGAAGAAAAAGAGAAATGAAGGATCTCACCGAGGGAGGTAGAAAGGATATTCCAGACGTGGGGCCCTTGCGATAGCCTCATTAGGGCTTGAACAAGAGCAGATCACCTTTGCCCTACTGCGGCTTGACATAGGGCAGAGTGAAGATGCGGCTGAGGTGGGTGTGTGGTCTTGGGTGGCATCACATCGCCGTGGCGATGCGAAGACTGTTGTGCTGTCAGAGGCGGGAGCAAGGCACTCGGGCTAACGAATGGTAGAAGAGCTTTGAATTGTGTTGAAAGACAAGACGGGGAAAGACGACTTTGGAAAGGTGAGAGAGGTGGCGTTGGGGATAGCTTCAATTGCAGAGTTTCTGCCTTGGGCCCTAATAATGCTAGTGGTATCTTTAAAATACAGAGTCATATCCATACCAGACTTCAGAGTATGTTCTTGGTCTGCTCCTCCTTCAAGCGCTTATGCTCCTGGAACTTCCGCTCATGCTCAGCCACAGCAGCCTTCCCAACCTCCTCGTGATGCTTG